CCTGAGAAAAACAACATATGGCGGCACTAGTCAAGGTCGTCATAATTCGAGGATTAGGGAGGTCGGGGTCAGGAGCCCCCCCCCCTGAACCCAGGATAACCCTTAACGTGGGGGCCAACCCGTCACCTTCTTGGTGGACACCGGAGCTCAACACTCAGTGCTCACCACGTCTCCAGGACCCCTGTCTGATAAGTCAGCATGGGTTCAGGGAGCCACTGGAGGGAAGAAGTGCCGCTGGACCACCGAAAGAAAAGTACTGCTTGCCACTGGTAAGGTGACCCATTCCTTTCTGCATGTACCCGATTGCCCTTACCCTTTGCTTGGAAGAGACCTATTAATGAAGCTTAAAGCGCAGATTCATTTTGAAGGGACTAAAGCCCATATTACGGGGCCGCAGGGACAACCATTACATGTCTTGACCATTAACCTGGAGGATGAATATCGGTTACATGAGCCTGAGAGGCCCCCTGAGGGGCCTCCGGCTGAGGACATATCTGACTGATTGGAGAACTTCCCATCTGCCTGGGCAGAAACAGGGGGAATGGGATTGGCTACCCAACAGCCACCTCTAATTATACCCCTCAAAGCGACCGCAACTCCGGTTTCCATTAGACAATACCCTATGTCTCGAGAGGCCTACCAAGGAATCCGGCCCCACATTAAGAGGCTCTTGGAACAGGGAATCTTGACCCCTTGCCAGTCTCCCTGGAATACTCCCCTCCTTCCGGTCAAAAAGCCAGGCACAGGCGATTATCGCCCCGTTCAGGACCTAAGAGAGGTCAATAAGAGGGTAGAGGATATACACCCAACAGTCCCTAATCCATACAGTTTGCTGACCGGATTACCACCGGCCTATATTTGGTATACAGTCCTGGACCTCAAGGATGCATTCTTTTGCCTAAGGCTCCATCCTCAGAGCCAGTCCATTTTTGCCTTTGAATGGAAGGACCCAGAGTTGGGATTATCAGGACAACTCACTTGGACTAGGCTCCCCCAAGGGTTCAAGAATAGCCCTACCCTGTTTGACGAGGCATTACATCGAGACCTGGCTAACTTTAGGGTATTACACCCAGCCCTAATCTTGCTCCAATACGTGGATGATCTTCTCCTGGCTGCAAGAACTGAAGAACAATGTAGGGAAGGAACAAAGGCCCTCTTGAGGGCTTTGGGAACTCTGGGATATAGGGCCTCAGCTAAAAAGGCCCAAATATGTCAGAGGCAAGTCACCTACTTAGGCTATCAGATCAGGGATGGTCAAAGATGGCTGACAAGAGCATGAAAACAAACAATCCTGAATATTCCAGTGCCTAAAAGCCCAAAGCAGTTAAGGGAGTTCTTGGGAACGGCGGGGTTCTGCCGGCTCTGGATTCCAGGATTTGCCGAAATGGCTGCACCACTCTACCCACTCACCAAACCAGGTACCCTTTTCACCTGGGGGAATGAGCAACAAACGGCCTTCACAGCTATTAAAGAGGCCTTAATAACCTCCCCCGCATTGGGACTTCCCGACTTAAATAAGCCCTTTGAGCTATTTGTTGATGAGAAACAAGGCTATGCTAAAGGAGTCCTGACTCAAAGACTGGGACCATGGAGGCGCCCGATTGCCTACCTGTCCAAGAAACTTGACCCGGTGGCTTCAGGGTGGCCTCCCTGTTTGAGGATGGTCGCGGCAATTGCCCTCCTAACCAAAGACTCAAGTAAGCTAACAATGGGGCAACCGATAACAATTTTGGCTCATGCAGTGGAAGCCCTGGTCAAACAACCTCCGAGCCAATGGCTTTCAAATGCCCGCATGACCCACTATCAGTCCCTACTACTAGACACTGACCGCGTACGTTTTGGCTCTGTGGTAACACTCAATCCAGCATCACTTCTTCCCCTACCGGAGAGTCCAGAAACTCATGACTGTCTCCAGATACTTGCAGAGGTACATGGCACCCGGCCTGATTTGACCAATCAGCCCCTCCCTGACGCCGACTTCACCTGGTACACAGACGGGAGCAGTTTTTTAGACAACGGAGAACGAAGAGCAGGGGCTGCGGTCACCACTGAGACTAAGGTAATTTGGGCTAGGGCCTTACCACCTGGTACCTCGGCACAGCGGGCTGAACTCATCGCCCTGACTCAAGCCCTCCAGATGGCAGAAGGTAAGAAGCTTAACGTCTATACCGATAGCCGATATGCCTTTGCCACGGCCCATATTCATGGGGAAATATACTGAAGAAGGGGACTGTTGACCTCGGAGGGAAAAGAAATCAAAAACAAGGCTGAAATACTAGCCTTGCTCGAGGCGTTGTTCCTACCCTTAAAGTTGAGCATCATTCACTGTCCGGGCCACCAAAAAGGGAACAGCCCTGAGGCTCGAGGTAACCGCCTGGCAGATGAAACTGCCCGCAGGGTGGCTCAACAGGAAAGCCCTACTGTTTCTCAAGTCCTGACAATAGAGGAAACAATCATAGACTCCCCTACACGAGATCAAGGGCCTGTTTTTCAATATAGCCAGGAAGACCAAAACCTACTAAAAGAAATGGGGGCTACCTACCACCCTAAAACGCAGAAATGGACATTAGAGGGAAAACTAGTGTGGCCCCAACGTCTGACCTATTACTTGGTTGATCATCTCCATAAACTGACCCACCTGAGTTACAGAAAGATGAAAGCCCTTCTTGAAAAAGAAGAAAACACCTACCATCTGCTGGGGAAAGACAAGATTCTACAGCAAGTGGCAGAAAGGTGCACCGTGTGTGCACAAGTAAATGCTGGACACAGTAAGGTGGGTCCTGGGGCCAGAGTCCGGGGACACCGACCCGGAACCCATTGGGAAGTTGATTTCACAGAAGTCAAGCCTGGACTATATGGATACCGGTATCTGCTGGTGTTCGTGGACACTTTCTCTGGATGGGTAGAAGCCTACCCTACCAAACATGAAACTGCCAGAGTCGTCACCAAAAAGCTTTTGGAAGAAATCTTCCCCAGGTATGGTATGCCACAGGCACTGGGCTCCGACAACGGCTCTGCATTCATCTCCCAGGTAAGTCAGTCGGTGGCCACACTACTGGGGATTGATTGGAAATTACACTGTGCTTATCGTCCCCAAAGCTCAGGACAGGTAGAATGAATGAATAGAACTATTAAGGAGACTTTAACTAAATTGACGCTTGCAACTGGCGTTAGGGATTGGGTGACCCTCCTCCCCTTAGCACTGTATCGGGCCCGAAATACACCTGGCCCTCATGGACTCACTCCTTTTGAAATCCTTTATGGTGCCCCACCGCCAGCTGCCCACTTCCTCGACCCTGACATAGCCTCTTTCTCTCGACCTTCTCTCCAAGCTCATTTACAGGCACTGCAAATCGTACAACGGGAGGTCTGGAAACCACTGGCAGCTGCGTACCAAGAACAGCTAAATCAACCTGTGATACCCCACCAATTCCAGATCGGGGACGTGGTCTGGGTGCGACGACATCAGACCAAGAACCTAGAGCCGCGCTGGAAGGGACCCTACACTGTACTACTAACGACACCCATGGCCCTAAAGGTAGACGGCATCGCAGCCTGGGTCCACGCCTCCCACGTCAAGGCCGCCGATCCCGAACTCCTACCCGACCACCCGGAGTCAAAAGCCAGATGGAAACTTCACCGCACCCAAAATCCCTTAAAGATAAGATTGACTCGTGGGGAGCCCTAATAAGCTTGTGTCTAATTTTAAGTCTAGAAATAACTTATGCTTCCCCTCATCAGGTTTACAATTATACTTGGGTCATCGAAAACCAAGCTGGGGATATAGTCATGACAAGCTCCTCTATTGGGGCCCAGCCCCATTGGCCAGATTTAGAAGTGGATCTCTGTGCCCTTGCCCTTGGAGCAGATACTGACTGGGCAGTTCCTGATATTTTTTGGCCTCCTCCTGGGGGCCGAGCGCCTGAACGGATAACCCCAGGACGGGCCACTGATCCAAGCTGCATCAATTCGGTTGGAAGGGCCCTTTTGCGGGGTCCCCCCGGCAGTGGGGTATGGGGTATTTATGTCTGTCCTGGTACACATCGGAATAGAACTCTCCATCATAAATGTGGGTGGACAGATCAGTATTTTTGTGCCTCATGGGGATGTGAAACCTCAGGAGACACTCACTGGAAGCCCTCCTCCTCCTGGGACTATATTACAGTAAAAAGAAAGAATCCCACATCCGTCCCTCTTAATACACCTCTCCAACAAACCACGTTGGGGGTATGTAATCCCCAGGGCAAAACTAAAGGATGGTGCAATCCCCTGTTGATTCAATTTACTCCACGAGCCAAACACCAGATTTGGACTTCACAAGGATTTAGATGGGGCCTCCGGGTTTATAAAGATCGAAAGGACATAGGCCTCACCTTTTGGATCAGGCTTAAAAAGGCCTTACCTATTACTAGGTCTGTGGGCCCCAACCCGGTCTTGTCAGATCAGAAAAGACCCTCTCAGCCAAAACATCCACCCCTATGGCCCACGGCCCCAAATGCTTCTGTTTCTTCCCCTAGCCCGACTGTCATAGACCCTACTATACAGCCTCCCCAGAGGCCTGGATCAGGAGATAGACTTCTAGATCTAATAACAGGAGCTTATCAGGTGCTAAACCACTCCAATCCCGATCAGACCCAAGAATGCTGGTTATGCCTGGTTTCAACTCCACCCTCTTATGAAGGATTGGCCGTAATGGGTAACTTTTCTAACCATACAAGCCCTCCAGTGAGCTGCTACCCCTCTGCCTAACATAGATTGACTCTGTCTGAAGTGTCCGGGCAGGGGCTTTGTGTCGGAAAGATACCTGTGGCTTATCAGCAACTTTGTGATTCCACTGCCAATATTGATACCGGAAATTACTACCTGACTGGACCCAATGGTACCTTTTGGGCATGTAATACCGGCCTAACCCCCTGCATATCAGCTATAGGCTGGAATGCTGGTTCTGACTTTTGTGTCCTTATTGAATTATGGCCTAAGATAGTCTATCACAAACCGGACTATATCTGCAGACACTTTGAAGAAAGAATTCGGTATCATAGGGAACCCGTGTCTTTAACCTTGGCAATAATGCTGGGAGGGCTAACAGTCGGAGGCATTGCCGCCGGAATTGGGACTGGGGCCACCGCCTTGACAGCAACTAATCAATTCCAACAGCTACAGCAGGCTATGCATACCGACTTACAGGCATTGGAAGAATCAGTAAGTGCCCTAAAAAAATCCTTAACCTCTCTGTCAGAAGTGGTCTTACAGAATCGAAGGGGGCTAGATATCCTCTTCTTACAAGAAGGGGGATTATGTGCAGCCTTAAGAGAAGAATGTTGCTTTTATGCCAACCATACCGGCTTAGTAAGAGATAATATGGCCAAGCTCAGAGAAAGACTTAGCCAGAGAGAGAAACTCTTCAAGGAGGGACAGAGTTGGTATGAAAGTTGGTTCAATAAAGCCCCCTGGTTCACCACCCTCGTTTCCTCTCTCATGGGCCCCCTGATCATAATTCTCTTGATTCTGTTATTTGGGCCTTGTATTCTAAATCGGCTGGTCCAGTTCATAAAAGATCGGCTCTCTGTCATACAAGCGTTGGTACTGACCCAACAGTATCATCAAC